CACCAGGCTGATTTTGACGCTCTAACCACTATTAGATGTGTTTTGACAAGCTTTACCAAAGTCTCTTAAGCAAGAAAAATGATTAACTTAGTATAAAAAAAAGGTTACCTTGGGTAAATGTCACATTCACACTATAGTAAATTTATATAGTAATCTGAGTCACTTTTTACTAAGATTACGCATTAGTTGACTGAAGAATCATCAATTAATTTTAATATCTCGTAATGTAGCAGTCAAAATCAAATGAAACTTATACTATTTGATTTCTCTCACCAAGATAAATCAAATAGTGTAAATTTCATCTAATTTTGATTACGAGATCACAAGATACCTGATTCGTCACAATACCCTACTTTACCTTATAAAAAAAATTTTTTTGTTCAGGTGACTAGTGAATTGCCTATTAAACATATTTTGTAAGATTTCTCATTTTATTTGTATAATTCTCTTTAAGTCCGCTTGAATCTATTTCAATAAATAGTAATTTATTTTAAATAACTTATACAGTTGATAAAACAATATTATTGTTTTATTCTAAATCTCCTATAGTGCAGGTTAAAATTTAATTCAGATCTAGTATTCTTAGCTACGATTTGGACAATAAATGAGATTCACTAGTGATTTAAGCTAAGTCAGCCAACTAAGATATTGGCTAATTGGCTAGCAACTACCAGTGTTGTCAATGGACATGGACATATAAAAATATAGATGTTCATATCTATAAATATATAAAAATATGTCCATGTCCATAGACATGAATATTGGACATTGTGTCTATGGACTGTCCATGTCCAATAATTTGCTTGGACATATGTCCATGTACAACATTGGCAACTACCATACTTCTGTAATATATAATCTTTAGCTACATTAGCCAGCTGATCATATTATATTAGCTAGCTTAGCCATGGCTACTATAGCTGGCTTAAATCACTAATGCTAAGATTCACTATAAAAATTTGTTATCAACAAAACCATAGTGACCACCTAATCAAATGACAATGCAGGGCTGGACAACATAGCAAGCATTTATTTTGATTGGCCAATTTTTGTAAATCAACCTGTGATATAGTAAAATTCTATTGGTTAATTGAAATTAATCAAAGTTTTAAATTTTAATTATGGTAAATTGTGTAAAGAAAAAAACTAATATGTATAAAAATAACTATCGATAATAAAATTTAATTTTAGTAGAAGTCTTTATAATAAAATCTTGATAACTTTAAATCTAAAACCATAATAATCTTGTTGTAGACAAAATTTCAACAAACCAAAATTTTATTAAAGAAATAATTCTAATATATTAAAAAAAAAAAGATTCAAAAACAAACTAAAAACAAAAAGTACAAGAAATAAATATTTGAATTTATTCTAGAACACTAATAGCTAATAAAAAAATAATCAAAAACAACTTTTGGTGCTGCTCCAATATCAAACTAATCTTTATAATTGTTGTATAGTTACAGTACTACTACTTTGCTTTAACTCTTCATATTCTTAGCCTATATTATAGTCAAGTTTTATATTATTTGTGATTACAAGGAATAAGTTTTCATAAAATATATAAAAGATGGCTTAACAGTTAAATTGCAAAGTTTAATTGATTTATTGTACCTATAAGTTAAACCTGAATATTCAAACATATCTCTCATCTAACTTCCAAATTACTTCGCAGATTACCAAATTACTTTGATAGTTTATAGATCTTTCGCTTTTTTTTGGTATCAAGTTTGGCTAATTCGTCTTCATAGCTGCCAAACCATTTTTGTATGTATGTACCTGTCTGCAAAACATTACACCACTATGTGGAATATGCTGTGTAACAAATTGTATCGATCATCTAATCAAGTAAAGCCCGCTATGTTGGGATTGTATGTGGTACAGATTTTTATTTGCCAGTTACGCGCCGTGACAGACATGATTTAAAACAAAGATTTGTATTACTATTCGGGAAGCACGTTTTCCTGGTATAATTATTGTTTGATCGTCAAATAAAATATTATAAGGGATAAACTTGATTGGTTGATTTTTGTGTTCCTGATCTATAAATATTGAAATACTGTATAACGTCTATTTCTGTATTTCATCTCTTTCACAATAATTACAAAAAATCAACTGTAAGGCTTCGCTGAAAAAAGCAAAAAAAGGTAATTAATATTCTCTTATAAGAGTTGGACCCTTTAAGTTGCTCTCCTTTATGTGGTTGCCTTGGGCATTAGCGCAAAGACACACTCTGGTTCAACAGTCTGCAATTGGTGAGGGTGCTGTTCTATCGACCATAAAAGTAAACTCTAGGTTGCTTTGTATGTGGTTGACTCGGCGTTAGTGCAAAGGTGCACTCTGGTTCAGCCACCTAAGCTTTTTGTGATGATAGTTGTTTCATCGACCGTGCTGGAAGTAATTTAAAGGAGCTTCTTGTCATAAAGTCTATTTTTTCTAAAGAAAGAAATGGGTATGGACTTTTTCTTGGAAGAGAAGCTTTGTCTGTAAAAAAATATTATTATTTAATAGATGCATTATTAATATATAAACTGGTTTATATTTTAGATAACCGCAGATGTTAGCCTAGATGTCAACTTTAAACAGCCCAAATTAGTTACGCTTTTTTTTTTCCTTTTAATTTTATTGTAGCTCCATGTCCACAGAAGTAGATTCTAGTGAATTGTTTTCTTTGAAATGCATGTTTTTTTTAATCTTTATTTTATGCATCACTTTATTATTTACTATAGCAAGGACAGCAGCATCTGTTACTGAATCAAAACGCGTATCTTTCTTTTAAACATATTCTATTGGCTGTTCGGTTTCTTATAAAGATGATATTGGTAATTATAAAAAGGTTGGTTGTATATAACAAATATATAGTAAGTAATAAATAAATCAGTAAAAATTCCCAGTTTTTATAATATTTTAATCTAGTTTATTGGCCAACATTATAATTAATCTACTAGGAAACAGGTGCTGTTAAGTGTCCGAAGTAGTGTTCTGCAAAAAAGGATCCAAAAGGATCCAAACGGATCCAGTATTTTTAATGGGCATTCATATAGCATTTCACTAAGGGTACTAGAACTGAAATTGTACGTATAATTAATATGGAAAATACACTACCAACAATGGGCTCTGCTTGTCTCTCACGTGTGCCTGTAGCTAGCAACAGCCTTTCAAACTCGTTATGTAAACCAGATCTGGATCCTGGGATCCGGTTTATGTAACGAGTTTGAAAGGCTATTGCTGGCTACAGGTACCCATGAGAGACAAGCGGAGCCCATTGTTGGTAGTATATTTTCCATATTAATTATATATACAATTTCAGTTCTGGTACCCTTAGTGAAATATTACATGAACGCCCATTAAAAATACCGGATCTGTTTGGATCCTTTCGGATCCTTTTTTGCGGAACACTAGTCCGAAGCCAACATAACTTATAAACAAGATTGATTTATTGTGTTATTAGCTTAAAATAAAAACTGATTGGCCAATAATAATGATATGATGATCATCAAATCCAAAAATAGAAGCGAACATAAACACATACAAAATCTGGTCTATGACAACATCGTAAAGTCCTCGCTACGCTTCAGACAATAATAATAAATTTTCTAAAAGTTGTATAAATTAAAAGAATTTTACGTAAAATAATTTAATAATTTTTTCTTGCTTATTAATGCAAAAATTTTTCTGTAATTTTGTTCATATTGCTGCTACAATTATTATAAATAAAAAATCTGAACGTAAACTATCGAACCAGTGAGTCTAAACTTCTAATTTTATAATAAAGCCTCACTTTACGAATATTTCAAATTTGTATTATAGCTATCATATAAT